AAATACGGCTCTAGAACCGCATTCATTAAAACAAAATGGCCACCAGATAGCCATTTTTATTCGATTTCAAAAATAAAATGACATGCATAAAGGTACTGTAATGCCCAACATATGTACCAAGTTTGAACAAAATCATTCCCTAAATTTCTGATTTTGATGATTTTTCAGCAGAAAAAAGGTTGCCATTCGGCCATTTTGAATCAGATAGTCAAAACAATATAATAAATCAAAGCATGGCAGAGATAAGGCATTATAACTGCATTCATTAAAACAAAATGTCCACCAGTCAGCCATTTTAAATCTGATCTGAAAAACAGAATGACATGCATAAGGTCCCATAATGTCCAATGTATGTACCAAGTTTGAACAAAATTCATCAATAAATTCTTGAATTTTATCATTTTTCTGCACAAAAAAAGCCACCAGTCGGCCATTTGGAATCAGATAGTCAAGCCAATATACCTATATTTTTATGACATGAACTATGATGAATATATAAAATTTGAACATAATCAGCCAAAGCATGGCAGAGATATTATATCCAATCTGAAAAACAGAAAGACAAGTATGAATGTATGTACCAAGTTTGCATTCAAGTGTATCTATTAAAACAAAATGGCCGCCAGTCATCCATTTTGAATCTGATCTGACAAATTAAATGGCGTGCTTCAGGAGCCCATAGTGTCTAATGTATGTATCTGTACAAGTTTGAACAAATTCAATTCATAAAAAAAAATGGCCGCCATTCAGCCATCTTGAATCAGACCATGAAACAAATTGATGTACATATGTATAATATTATGTATGATGTATGTGTGAAATTTGAATGTACTCAGTCCAGGCATGTCTGAGATATAGGTCCGAATGCACGCACGAATGCATGGACGCACAGAGGTCAATCCATAAGTATAATCAGTGAACTACGTTTTGCAACACCATAAAAATGGCAAACTTTTTTTATCTCAAAATTGTATTTTGGTACATATGTGGTTGAACATGAGTACTCACAGCTGTCCTAAATTATTGAAAAACTCTGAGGAATATTATATTAATAACACATTTTTTCTCAATACTGGATTTGCAAATGCCAATTCATTTAACTTTTTTTAAATACACTAATAATGCATTTATATTTTACAAAAAAAAAAGAAACTTTGAACACTACCCAAGATACATGATTATTAATAGAAACTACTTACAATTAATTAAGCAACACACACAATAATACAGAATAAACAACAGACATTACCACAACATAGGGTTCCTAATTTTACTTGGTTGCATGCATATATAAATGTCCTTTTTCTTGGAAAATGACAACCGACATTACATTAAAGGTTCTTCTGAATCGATCTCCATTGGATTAGCAATAATAAAGAAGGCATTTAGCGCATGATCAGTGAGCATTTAAATTTTGTCTAAGACTGATTTATGCATTCTACTCACAGTGCAAAGAATAGACCTACAATGTATCTAGAATCAATGTACAGAAGACTAATAATAATACTACAAGTTTATCACCTGATATTTTGTTCATAAAAGTGATACAAGTGGCGTCATGGGCTAGTATTATCCACAAACCTAAGGCGAGTTGATACAGCTCATTATGCAAAAACTAGCAACTAGCTCTATGAATAAGTCATAATCTTATATTACATGGGACTACGAATCATATGCTAATTTATGCTAATAAGGCATGAGGTCTTGGTAGATAAGCATTTGCAGTTGCAGACGGTTATCAAAAATCAGTAGAAATACTACCCTTTTGTCAATATCATTTTAAAATATACTTTCAGTCATTTTTATGAGGTATTCTCATTGCATCATGAGAGTAATTTTTTATATTAAGTCTGAAATTTACATATCAAAACAAATAAAAAGAGTAGTATCGAATGATTTGGATGTTATTACTTCATTCAGACACTTTTTTTCTGTTTATACCGTAATATCAAAGACAAAAGTGTCTGAGATGTTTTGCAACATAAACTAAATATAATTATTAAAATAAATTGGAAACATAGCTATCTTCTTGAATTATAATAAATCTGTGCAATTGCTCCAATTGTTGCCATGGTAACAGATGAAGTGAAAAAGCAAAAGCACATGGAGTCAAAAGAGAACAGACATGAGCTACATGACAACTATATATGGTAAAGCAGTGGCTTTCAGAAAGCAAGAACTGGCAAACTTAATACCTCATCTTGGAACACCTAGTACAAAATAAATATAACAAAAAATAAAATAATAAACACAAAAATACATTAAAACAACCAAACAAACTGAATGTGTGACAAATCAATTATCAGATATGTTTTCAGATATGACTTTAGATTTATTTTGTACACTGCAAACAGCAAAGAACCAAAAAATGTAAGTCCCGTAATATGTGATCGTCTAAAACACAATACTTTATGTGATCACTACTGAAACTGACACTGAAAACAAAACGCAAAGCAAATGGCAACAGAGATCTTCTTTTTACTACTCAAATAGTATTCATTCTCTTCTGCTATAGAGTGCACTGTTCCTCCAATGTATGTAACCATGGTAATTGGAACAGTGCATTTAATGACAGGGTAGAATGGAACACTATTTGAGGGGCAAAAATGAGTTGTTTTTTTATCAAGAGATCTCTGCAGCCATTTGCCTCTGGGGGATCTATAAAGTTATTAACAGAATTTAGAAAAAACATCACTGGTTGTATAGAATTTTTAACTTTGAACTTACCTTGCCCAGATTGGTTAACAGTGAAATACAGCTCTTTGTCATTGTCAGTTCTAAAATGTCATTGGACGATATTGAAACAGTCATTACTGGGAGAGCAAATGCTAAATCAATCGTGGAATCGTCGTCTTCTGACCCACCATTTTCCTCCTCATTCTTCTTTACCTGAAATAAGATGTAAAATTTTAAATGTTTAATAGCGAAAAAATTCAGGCATCTGTTAAAAAAAAAATTACAAATATGTTTGAAATTGTTATGTGTATGTTAACACATATTGCAAAATAAGCATTTATACTCCTTTATTTCATCACTGCACAGGATTGCTCAAAACATAGCGCCCTCTAATGGTAAAACAATAAGCTGCTTTTGTTTTTGTGTTTATTTTAATATACCAGTAAAAGTTTAAAAGTCAATGCTTGGAGTGTGTAGGGATGAGCTTTACCTCAATATTGAGCTCCCATGGTCTATGACCGCCAACCACCTCGACAGGTTCCAATAATGGTTCCCATTCAGCCATACCAATGTTATAATAACTGACGTCCATACTGATATCACTGGAGACATACAACTATCAGAAATAATGTAAAATAACACAATAAACATTGAATGCACAATCTAGCTTTTGTGATCATTCACAAATTGACCCACAATTTTTTTTTTTAATATTTTTTTTTTTCAAAGTTTTTATCGAGATCCGTATCCAATGGAAAAATATGCCCATTTGGTTCAAATTTAACAAAAAAATTATAGAAAATACATAAAACTGCTCAAAATATGGTGCCACAATTGTGGCCTGGTATGATAACTGGTATAGGTAATAAAACAAAATAATCTACAAAAAATAAAAATACAGCAAAACCAAGAACTGCAGAACTGCTTGTGTTCACAACTTACAATGTATAAAAAAAATGCTTCAAGCCAGTCCACTTTTTCGTTAGTCACTGCTAATTACCCACATTACTGTTTGTGTTAGATATTTGTCTAATTTAGTGGGGTCAATGTACCTTAGATGTCCAATCTTTGACTTCAGTTGTTACATTTGCTTCTAGCATGATCATAGGTAAGGTCTGTGTCCCTATCCCGGCCTCTAATGTCAAACGTATCTTTTCAATCTTCATCAATAATTGGTCTCCTCTTGTTTCCACTGGTGTGTCTTCCTCAAGAAGATCACATGGATCCAGCACAAAATCGTCATCAATTGGTTTAGCTGAAAATGTAATGTTATCTCAGGGAGTGAGAAATGTTGAAGGAATATAGTGTTTTCAAATGATGTCACTAAACTCATTTACATAATGTGAGTAATTATTCATGACATCATAACTCATATACATAAACGTGATTAATTATTTATGACATCATAACTCGTATACATAAAATGTGAATAATTATTCATGATGTCACAACTCATTTACATAATGTGATTAATTATTCATGACATCATAACTCGTATACATAAAATGTGAATAATTATTCATGATGTCACAACTCATTTACATAATGTGATTAATTATTCATGACATCATAACTCGTATACATATATGTTAATAATTATTCATGATGTCACAACTCATTTACATAATGTGATTAATTATTCATGACATCATAACTTGTATACATAAATGTGAATAATTATTCATGATGTCACAACTCATTTACATAATGTGATTAATTATTCATGACATCATAACTCGTATACATAAAATGTGAATAATTATTCATGATGTCACAACTCATTTACATAATGTGATAAATTATTCATGACATCATAACTCGTATACATAAATGTTAATAATTATTCATGATGTCACAACTCATTTACATAATGTGATTAATTATTCATGACATCATAACTCGTATACATAAATGTTAATAATTATTCATGATGTCACAACTCATTTACATAATGTGATTAATTATTCATGACATCATAACTCATATACATAAATGTGAATAACTATTCATGATGTCACAACTCATTTACATAATGTGATTAATTATTCATGACATCATAACTCATACATGTATACATAAATGTGAATAACTATTCATGATGTCACAACTCATTTACATAATGTGATTAATTATTCTGATATAGGTCTACCATGAAATTGTTGCTAACGACGACAGGCAATCAATATTATAAATTGCTCCACGCGACTTCACCTTCAGCAGAATAAAATTAAAAAAAATTCTAGCAACTTGGATAATAAGCAGAATCACTGCACTAAAGAAACCATGCATATACAAAATGTAACCTTGTACCTTCCTTGAGAAACCAGAAGTTACAGTCTTGTAGATGTTTAACAGTCCATAAATCAACAGGTATAGATTCTTTAGCTTTTCTTTTTTCTTCCTCATCCGGCTATGAGAGAAAAAAATTCCTTATTAACATATACATAAGTATAGAAACCTTGCCCTTTATTTTTTAAAAACTATCAAGCAGTTGTAAGTATCCCAACCTTAATCGCAAATGGTTTCAGAGAACTCGCTGGGAGAGTGAGAGAGACAAGATTTGTTCCAGCCCCTCAAATAGCGTTCTATTCTCATGTTCACTGTTTCGTCCCCGTGGTTACATCAGTCAGGAGAATAGTGAATTTGATTTGAGGTGCAAAAGCAAGTGTTGTAGCACTCTCACTCTCAAGAGATCCTGCCGGGTATTTACATATAAGGTCTATTAAAATATGAGACTTTCTAATAATGCTTCATGCATGGCATCATGTGAAAAATTGACAAAGACGACATTTGCATTAATAGGTAAAACAGCAAAAGTCATTGTGCCATATTTTATTGAATAAACCAGAGAACACAGAATAGCAGACTAACTTAATTCACTTGTATTACGTTCAATTATTATCTTCCCTGCATTTTTGCAATCTCTGTCTCGCAAAACAAGGTCTGGAGCATTTCATATTGACAAGCACAAAATGTGCTGGCATCATAAGTTTGAAAGCCATCAAGTGGAAATGACAAAACTACTGCTAAGCCAATCGGCAATCTCTATGAATAACTGTAAGCCAATCAAAATTGCTGTGACATTTTACCTCAGAGGGTGGTTTCATACTTGCAGCAATGGCTGACATGGTTTGTATAATTCTTGGCGAAGCACTTAATGCTATCTCAGTTACAGCGATGTCAATGTGTTGTCCTTCGTTTGTAGGCTGTGAAAGGTGTAGGCTTATCGTACATGGTTGTAACACCTGAAATAACAGCAACAATTTCATGAGTTCAACACACACACATGAGAAAAGACACAACAAACACCATAATAATTTATTTTTTAAACACATTTCGCAAGTCACTGTGACTCTTAGTTAAAGTTGTCCACGCTCCAAGCTTTTGTTAATGTCCATAACATTGTGTACAAGTACTTTCATCAACAAGCCATGTTCAGATATGCGTTGTATATGTATATGTAACTCTCATATTACAGTTAAATGACAACGTAAATATGAAATGCAAGGCTATTTTACAAATAAAATCAATAGATTAAATACCCTAAATATTAGGAAATTAAAAGGTACAATTTGTTGAGTTTTGAAATCAAATATTAAACAGCCTCATCACAGAAGTTGAAAATCTCCAAAGTAAAATTGATTCAACTACACTGATATAATTGACCAAGCTGACAGATCACTCCAGATTTACAGTATCAGTCTGCCGTTTCCAAACTCAACAGGTTTCCACTCTGAGAAATATGGCTTGCTTATCCTGATATTATATTAACCCTCTGAACACCTAAGTCAACTTCAGGCACCATCCACAAAATAGTTCCATTTGCACTTTTCCAGAAAATGTTGACAAAAATGTTTTGATCAAAATCTTGAAGCAATTTCACATTTTGTCTGTTCGGTCTGAAATCAAGATTAAATTTTGTGAAAACAAGTCATTGAAAATGACACAGTCCCCGTAAAATTTTTGAAAGTTCTCTTTGTGCTTGTCATATTAAAGCGGAGGGGTTGTCGCGAGCGTGTCCTTGAAACTTGAGTTCCAAGTGGTGTATACAACAGATTGTTTATTTACATCAA